GCACTGTGTCAAATTATGATCATTTTGTGTGTCCATGACAGCATTTTTATTCTTTTTTAAAGTCTTAGGTGTCTTAAAGGTAGTCCTTTACATAAGCGTTATTGGTTTCCCAGGGCTTGCTTCCCTTATAAATTGATATTTTGCAAATATATTTGTAAATGGAAAAATAAAACAAACAAACAAATACCTACTTATTACCTTTTTGTACTGTTATATGACTCAATAAATATCGTTACCAAGTCCTCTTTTCGTCAAAATGAAACGAGCACGCATCATTAATTGATGTTAGAAAGTGTTAACGCACGCCGGTTGGGTGCACTACTCCTTACCTGCAGAAAAAATGAGGGAGGTAGGGCATTTGGATAAAGTTGAAAAGTGATATTTGTCATGTGCGTTGCCTGAAACAATGATGCTCGGTATTAAGTTACTTTACCTTTGATTGTAACCTCCACTGTGTAGGTCAAGGTTCCAACAGAGTTTGAGACTTCACATTTATAAATCCCGGTGTCACTTTCACTTACATCTTGGATGATTAATTCTGTTTTGCTGATGCTACGTTGGAGCACCCTGCCACTTTTTCTCCAGGTAACAAGTGGTGTAGGATTGCCCTCGGCTTCGCAGAACAAGTACAGTACGTTTCCCTCAACAATAGTAACTTTACCTTTGCTTTTAAAGGTAATTGTGGGTGGTACTATAACGAAGAAATAAAGAAATATGAAGACTACATTATTTTTCGGCCAATAAAAATTTAAACGCAACATTATGAGAGATTCTGTTCTAAAAGTAACAAACTAAAGTAAGGCTATAATTTATTTAACACATAAAGACGCTTAAACAGTGTATTACTCTGTGATAAAACACGACTGGCATTTGAGAGCACAAGGGAAATGTAGAAAACATGAGCCGCAGGCGAGTGTTTTCTACATTCCTCGAGTGTTCTCAAATGTCCAGAGTGTTTTATCACAGTGTTATACACGGCTTAGACCTCTTCATTTGCTTTATGATATAGAGGTAATGTGGCGAAAAACAATAAAACACGCTTTTTGTATGTTTTATACTCTGATAAAACATGGGTTTTTGACCAATCAGAGCGCACGCAGGGTGCTATCTAAATTATAATATCAGATAGATAACTGACTTAAAACTGGCAAATACAAATATTGTGCAATTTTACCGCAATTTACTCCTAGTGAAACTGTCATTAGTCTAATTACAAATTAAAAATCGAGTCCACAGTAAGTTTTTTTTTTCAGTTGGGTAGCGAGTCGTGCAAAATCCTGCCATAGGGGGTTTAGATAGTTTGGTGTCAAATAGGCAAAACAGTGGACTAACCTAAATGTTAATTAAGGTGGTTCAAAACAATAATATTCCCGTGAGACGCCTGGGCTCTAGCGCGCACTTCGGCGCGAGGCATCACGCAATCACCCGAGGGTTCGCGAGATAGCGCGCGAGCTTTAAAATTTACAAAAACCAAAACAAACATGACGGCGCGAGGCCCATTTCGTAAAACTTTGTTTCCGTCAAGTTTATTAAGCTGTTTGCCTTATCAGTTAGTTTTAACTTCGAAAACATCCATCCTTCAGGTAATTTCAAAGGAAAGCATCCCATTAAACCGCTGTGCTGGAACGTAAACGACAATTGTGATGTTGATGTTGGGTTCGATCGCGCCGGCTATCAATCTAAAAAACAGCGGGGGAAAAAATACTTTTCAGGTTTCCTTCGTTCTTTGTACTTGGCTAGTCCCACCTCCGCATATTTATGGTACTCTTCTTTTACCGCTAATGCAGCTAACGACAACAGCGAAAAAGAAAACACTATTATTCGTGGACTATTCGCGTTTATTCGCGTTTATTCACGTGGAATTGCAGACTTTACTGATCAGCGGACCGCCTTCACGCGTGTGCAAGGGGCGATTTTGCAAAGTCGAGATTTAAATTTGCGCGTAAAGCGCGCGCCAAAAATTCCTTATCCACGAAGCTAATATCTCAAAAACTGATCCGTGACCCTACTTTTTATTGCATAAAAATATTCAACAGTAAAAGCTGAATTAATGTGCGAAATTGTAAAAGAAACTGTGGAGTGGAATTTCTCCAACTTGGAAATATCCATTTTTCTTAATTTAAGAAAAATCCATTCAACAGAATTTTTATAATTTTGCCTGTTTCTTCTTCTGTGTGTAATAAAAAAATTTTTATAAAAAAAAAATATGGCGTCACCGGCTTAAGATAGATGCAATTGATGGTAAAAAGTGGGTCAAGTTTGTTGCTATGCAACCGGACAGTGCAACCTTAATTTATGACTTAAACACAATGAAAGACACAGTGGAGAGTTACCTTAAAAAAATGGCACAGCCATTCAAAACAGTACAGTTCCAAGCCTGAAAAATCGCACCTAGTTCTTTAAGTCTCAAAAAAAGTAGAAAACTGGTTTGAGCCACCTTAAACATAAATATAACACATGCCTCCTGATGCTTTGACTCTCGTGATCTTTCCATCTTCTTTCAAACTTTCACCAAGTTCGTTTGTTGCAGTAACCACAAATTCATACACCTTGCCTCTTTCCAACTCAACTGTCAATTCTCTAACTGAGACATCTGTAATTGTCTTTAATTTGATCCACTCTCCTG